GCTGCTTCCGCTTTCACCGTAGACTTTGGTGGAGAATGTGGAACTTCTGCAACCGTCTCCTTGGGCAGCGAGTTGAGATGTCTCCGGTTTCGTCGTATCTCACCATTTGAGGTTGAGATGATGTAGCTCCTTTCACCAAACTCCTTTTGAACTGTACCTGTAGATTTCATTTGAGGAAGATACACTTGGTCGCCTTCCGCCAAAGGAGTTAGATCCTTGACTCTATGACGTGAGTCATAGTTTTCCTTCTGTCGCTGTTTAAGTTCAGAGTCCTTCTTGTTAAGACTTTCAGACGGGACCACGGTAGGTTTTAGCTTGCAGGGATGCACTGGAACTGTCGTCCGTAGATTACGAGACATAAGAAGTTGTGCAGGACTATACCCTTGTTCTAACGGTGTTGAACGGTATGCCAATAAAGCTAAGTGAGGATCAGCGCACTTTTCAAATAGACTTTTCACAGTCTGAACGGCACGTTCGGCTTCTCCGTTGGCTTGCGCGTAACGGGGACTACTAGTGACATGAGTAAATCCGTAGTCCTTTGMAAAGTTCACAAAGTCCTTTGATGCATAATTAGGTCCATTATCCGTGATRAGCTTCTCTGGAATGCCGAAGCGACTGAATATGGTTTTCAAGTTTGCAATGATACTTTGCGACGTAGTGCAGGTCAGTKGAGACACTTCGATGTAGCGGGAGTAATAGTCTATCACTAGTAGATAGGTCTTTCCTTTCCAGAAGAGTTGATCTGAGGCTACCTTTTGCCATGGGTAGTCTGGTAGCTCTGATGCAATCATGGGCTCGACATGGTTTTTTCTGAACTTTCTGCAAAYGGAACACTCGTTTACAAGTTCTTCAAGCTGTCGACCAATCCCAGGCCACCATACACTTTCTCTTGCTCGGACACGACATTTGAGTATGCCTTGGTGTCCAGCGTGTAACTTGTCCATCCGCATTGAAGCTGGAATGACTAGTCGACTTCCTCTGAATAGCAATCCATTATGAACTGTAAGTTCGGCTGCGAAGGGAGCATACAGCTTTACTGGGCCTTTAAGGGAACTCTTCTCTGGCCATCCCTTTTCACAGAAAGACAYAATTTGTTTGCATATCTCATCCTCTTGTAGATGGATTCTTATTTCTTCCAAGCGTTTTCCAGTTGCAGGTAGGCTTTGAAAGACATAGTTGACATACAAATTTGTCTCCGCTTCCAAGTTGCTATCTTGCATGATA